AAAGAAAATGTAAACAAGAAAGATCATAAGGAAAAAAAGAGTGGGAGAAATAAGGAGGAGGAACATCAGGGGAAAGGGAGGGGGGAGAGAAGGTATCCTCTCCAGCAAAAAAAAAACCTTTAAAAAATTATGACAATAACATGTTCCTCTGGTGCCGAAAGAGAGAGACAACCTGTTTGGTCAAGTCTCTTAACGAGCAGGGCGGAGGCACTGATTAACTCTTTAAGGACGATTATTCCGGTTCAGACTCTGGGATGGATCCTGAAGAGGGGGGTGGAGAGCAGAGATGGACATGTTCCGACTGCAGTGACCCCAACACAGTGGACAAGTAAGACAAGTAAGGTTATTCCGGTTCATTCGACAACAATATTGAAGATGCGCTGTTAAAAAGCAGAACTTCTTTATCCGTACAGATTTTTCAGTCCCGGTTTTCTTTACCAGGAACTTTAAAGAGCAAGAAATAACATGCATACTATATCATATTATGTCAAATTTGTATTTCTGCTTTGTGTTTGGCGGTTCGAAATGTGTCACATCACTGGCTTTGGTCTGTTCCACATCGGATATATTATAATTATGCGTCCGCTTCGCCCTTAAGGAGTTAAGTAGTGATGTGGCGGCCCCGTATGTACAGCGTTGCTCACCTGGGATAGTATATGACGAGGTAGGCTTCGTTCATCAACGCGCTGAGCACAAAGGGGGGGAAGAATGCAGTCCGTCAAGAGTAACACATCTGAGGATTTAAAAAAAAAAAAAGAAGTCACGTTAACACAGTCGTCAGGGGCAGAATATATATATACAGTCAAAATTATCTAAAAGTGCCATCCGCTGTCGAGAAGAAAAGTAGTTGTCTAGGACAGATGGACGTCTTGGACAATGCCATTATAACATATTTTTAAAAAATAAATAAATAAATAAATAAATAAATAAATAAATAAATAAACACAATCGGGTAAGTGGGAAATGGTCGTTTGTTAAGGTGATGGTCTGGGAAATGTGGATATTAGAGCAGGTTCGACTGTATAATATGGTCGCTTTTAAGGACAAGCGGGCTAACCCAGATTTCGGGGTTTTTCTGAAATCTTGACATACACTAAAAGTGGGCATTGTCCAACCTATAGGAGAAGTTTGGTTTCGCTGGTGAGTATATTTGTTTGGTTATCGAGAAAACTCTACTTGTGTTTTAAAGAAACTAAACATAAGGCAAATACTTTACCTTCGATTTTCTCAAAACAGCATTTTTCGGGATAGCCCCTTTGTGCTTAAAAGCGACCATATATAGATTTCAAAGTACATGTACATATTATATTATCGTACTTTGTTGACTCAAATCACCGGCTGTTGCTTAAATCCCCGTAGACATAATTTAGACAGCTAAGGAGGTGGGCGGGGTGCTTCGATCTTGAATGTCACGACCAACCAGGATACATGTAAGCTGAAATACGAAAAATTATGATATTTGAGAAAAGATCTAGGGAATCGCTCTCGCACTTTTCGGTTGTAAATAAAGCAAAACGTGTAACAATAATACAAAGGATGAGCGTCGCATGCCATAATTAGCATTCCGTGCAGTACCAAAATGAGGGGGTGATCATGTCACTTCGTTGCCTTATAGGATAAACGTATGGGTCAGGCCAACAATCAGGAAAAAAGTTGGTGTTTTACGCCCCTATCAGCACAATTTAGATCCTTTAATTCCGGAGGCAGGCTTCAGGCCCTGTCTGTTTGTGCCAACTTGAGCTAAGAGGGATACAACATCAGAGCAGAAAAACTGAGATACTCGATAAAAATTTATCTCCACTTGGGAATCGAACTCGGGTCTTCTGCGTGCGACAGTGAGGAGCTTAACCGCTACATCATACACACCAGTCCAATGCAGAGGGAAAAGGTTTTTAGATTTCAAAAGATCCTGGCGATCTATAATTATCAACAGCACAGAAATGTGTTATCGTTTTAACACTATCGAAATGTATCAAATAACTCTGACAACTATACCACGATCACAATCCATATAAACTGGTACGAGCAAATGATTTTTTTTAAAACAGTTTAAATCACTATAATGCACAAAAGACAGATGACAGAGGGAGTTAAACATGGACAGAATGAGAAATAAACACGCAGAACAGACGAACGTAGACAGTGGGGGTGGGGGGAGAGATGGGGGAGGGGGATGCGTGAAGAGAAAGAAAAAGAAAGGGAGAGAAAGACAGGCAAAGAGAAGAAAGGGGAACGAGAACCAGTCAGTCAGACAGACAGATAGAGAACCGAAATAAAGAAATAAAAAAGGAAGGAAAGAGGGAAAGAAGGAAGGAAGAAAGGAAGGAAGAAAGAAAGAAAGACAGAAAGAAAGACAGAAAGAAAGAAAGAAAGAAAGAGAGAAAGAAAGAAAGAGAGAAAGAAAACGAAGTCCTGGCTGTATTCCCAACAATTATGCCTAATGAATTGAAACAGGATATAGATTCTATATAGCGTTCGAAATGGGCGTTGTGAAGACCGTAACTGGATCAACACATAGCTCTCGCCAATCTGCTCGGATCTATCGCTCCATTTAATTTATTGAGGGCCATTCAAGAAAACACGCAACTAAGAAAGAAAAGAGCACGATACGGTGAACCAAAGTAGAACACACAATATATCAAGGAAATTGTATAAGAAGGCAACCCATTGGCGAGGAGAACATGGCCGTCTAAGACAGGTGGCCTTCTTACAGAGCGGTGTTATGATGTTTTTAAAAAAAACATATAAATAAGGGAGAGAATGAGAAGCGGTCGTTTGTACAGGTGATTGTCTAAAACAAGTGGCCGTTAGAGTAGACTCGACTGTATTTAAAATTACGGGGAATAAATCTACCGATTAAGTAACTATAAATATTTCTTAGGTACACTTTGGGGCAAGACGTAGTTTGACTATGGCCTACATTGACATAACTGAGTGGGTGGTTGACGGGTGCTCTGGTGTGGTTTGCTCCTTCTTTCCTATCAAACATATACATTGTATCGTCCTTAACTCTCCGTCTTTTTGTGTGTGTGTATTTGTTACTCTCTCTTTTAACACCTCTTTTCTTCGGCACTTACATGACTTTATTGCGTTGCAAGTGTCGTAAAACTCTTACTTTAACTAAACAGACAAAACTGCAGATTGTTACATTAAACTTTTTCTTTAATTACTTCAACATACTTATTTTGGCGGTTCGGCGGATTTGGTACAAATTGTACACAGGGAGACTCAAACCAAAATTACCCAGGGGTCCTAAGAGGTAGTGTCGGAGTAAGTCTGGGTCGCATCAAGTTGGTCTATTCCATAGCAAAAAAAAAAGTTTCAATCATTGAAAAAGAGGTACCACTGATCTAATCTTCTCAATCTGGACTAATAGTAATAGCTGCTCAGAAAATTAACGGTTTTTCGAAATTATAAGCTTCTCTTGCCTACTCCTTGCTGCCAGAAACCAAGGAGCGCCTCCTCGAGATCTTACATGGAACTGCCCTATTTTAGCTTGAAGCTGTACTGAGAGTTAACTTTGACGTCCATTTGAGGCCGCAGTTTTATCATATCGACTTGAGGATCTCAGCTGGTCCGCGGGACGCGAGTATGAAGTATGATACCCCTGCAATACATATAAATTGTGTGGTACTTCACCCCCTCCCTTCACTATTTAATTGATCTTCCTTTTTCCGGGCGACGGTAATTTTGTAGTTATGTCGCATTCACAAGCAAATAAGTTCGAAATCACAATCGTCACCAATAACAACTTTCAATATTCCACAAGGTAAACGTTGTAAGTGCTTCGGGTTGGGAGTTTTGTAGTTTGTTTTTTGTTGTTTGTTGTTTTGTTTTGTTTTGCTGTTGTCGTTGTTGTTGCTGTTGTTGTTGTTGTTGTTGTTGTTGTTGTTGTTGTTGTTGTTGTTGTTGTCGTCGTCGTCGTCGTCGTCGTTGTTGTTTCGCTTAACTGAATTCGCAATTTTCGCAATCTGTTTAAAGAAAGTCGCCTATTCAAGCAATTCACCAAATATCAAATAGGTCGCCTCTGTAATGGAACACAAGACATTGTGCGAAATAGGTAAAACTCTGTGAAAAAAAAGGTATGCAGCATTACAAGAAATCAAATAATATATGATAGTTCATCTAATTAGTGTCGGGTGACCCTCGTCAAGCAAGTATTGACAGCCAGTGTGAGAAGTAGCGACAAATTAGCTCGTATCAATGCAGCTGGAAGGGTCCCAAAGTGCATAGCATTTTCAGGAGGGAAGTTTTTCAAAAGAGAGGGATTAACTTCTTCACAGCCAGACGTGTTGTATAATCCTGTTTAGAGCAGATAGCGTCTACGGAAAGGTGGTGTTAAAAGGGTTAAAGAAAGATCTATAAACGAATAAGACTAAGAGAATAGAAAGGCGAGGTGCGTGATCTAGCATAATTTATGAGCATATGACAACATTCGCGCGACAGATGAGAAATTCGATTATAAGGATATTGGTTTTCTGTTCTCCTTAACGTTGACTTGTGTGTGTGTGGGGGTGTGGGGTGTGTGTGAGTAAAAGAGAGAGAGAGAGAGAGAGAGA